CAAAACCAGAATTATATATTTAGACGTTAGAAGAAAACAAAGATATCTTTCAAATGCATACGTATAAATCTAGTCTTGATAATTTATTATTCTATAAATTATTAATAAATACAAAAATAGGGTCAATAAGACATCAAATTAAAAGAAACTAGAAAATACGTTAAATTCGCGACGTATAGGTATGTTTATTATAAGTGATTTATATTTATTTCCATAGTAATAAATAGGAAGATTCTTCAAAAACCTATATGTACATACCTAGGTACGTTCATAAACAAATTCATTCAGTATGCTCACTGTAATGATAATAACGAATTTTTACATTTTTATTGAAAATTCATTATTTTCAACGACAAATATACCATCTTCACCAGAAATTAAGTGTATTTCTTAAAAATATAAACTAGAATAAAATCAATGTACTATTATCTGATTATTTAATAAAAAAGAACAAATAACTTAAAGAAATATTATCTGATCGAAAAAAAGGTTTCAAATTGATTTAGAATGACGATCAATTTTTCATATAAAGTAACAGCTATATTTATCCCCCATATTATTTTTAATTCCAATCCTGTATGATCATATTTCATAACTGAAAATAATCTTTTTAATAGATTAGTAATCAAAACTAAAAGGAATCTGTTCTATATTATCAAGTTCTGTTCAAAACATAATTGAAAATTAGAATAACTCTTCTCATATCATGCAATTTTATGTCTCTAATTAAATATAATAAATTTTCTCCACCCTGTAGAGGTAATGTAACTAAGTATTTTGTAGTATAAACTTTTTTTCATATAAGATTTGGTGAATACTCAATGATTTCGTGATGACCGTTGCAATCGAACTTCATCGACAACCCAAACTGTTATGAAACAGATGATTGGTTGAGAAAATGAGAAGCACGCTGGCCAGTTATTAGGGTAATTGGCTTTCCGATGTATGCCACTTTATTAAAAATTGAGCCTGGGCAGATTTTGACGTACGAAATAAATCCTCGGAGGCTTGGGATATTTGCCAAATTGGTTTCCGCAAAACTAAAACAAGCACAACAACCGTGCCTTTCCTCATTAAATTGTCACCGAATTGCCACGAAGGTAAAGATAAAAAAATTACTTTCTATTTTCAGAATGATGCATATGATTAAAACTCAACGAGTTTTAATCATCTACTGAATATGCTAGCATGGTTAGCGTAAAGTGCGTCCAGTGCAAAAGTAAAGTATTTTGGTGTATTGTGGTGAATTTTGTTTTATTTTCCTCAATCAGTACAAACTACAATCCATTATATACATTTCGTAAGCGCAATTTGGCAAAGACATGGAATCGTGTATATGAGATAAGATTCCACAACCTGTTCTGTTCTTGTACAAAATTACAGCCTCAGTAATTTTAGTCCATTTCACATAATTGTGAACCACCATTGTAAAAATATCATTGACCGTTCTTTCCAAGACAACCTTACACCGTTTACTTTTTATTTATAACTCATCGTACTCCTCTCCATTTTCTCGACAGAATCTGCATTCGCCGTTGTTTCTTTGCTTCAATCTACTCAGGTGTTCGTTGAGAAGACAGTGTCCTGTTAAAAATCCCGTGACATTCCGAAGATTGTTCTTAATGTTTATATAGTTCTAAAACGTTTTTCCGATGCCCAGTCGCCATTGCCTCCTATCTAGCCAGAAGTCGTCTTCGAGCTCTCGTTCTTTTAGCTCTTTGTCTATTCCTTCTCTCCAGCTCTTGCGTGGTCTACCCCTTTTTCGCCGCCCGGCTGGTGTCCAGTTGAGGATCTGTTTTGGAAGATTCTCCTCTGGCATTCTAGTACGTGGCCATACCATATTATTTGTTTAGGTCTTATGTCATCAGCTATTGTTCGATTGACCCCCATAATTTTTCGTATTCTGCTGTTCGTATACCTTTCTCTTCTGGATTTACCTGTGGCCGTCTCCAGAAATCTGTTTCTGTCATTTCCATGGTGCGCGGCCTTACCTTTTGCCGTACCTCGTAAAACTGCTGCCATAGCATACGATGCTTTGAACTAGTGTGCTGTATACAGGGTGTTTCAAAACAAATGCGAAAAACTTTAGGGGGTGATTCCTTGTTCAAAATAAAGGATAGTTTGCTTTATAAACGTTGGGTCAAAAGTCAACCATTAGGGAGATATCGCGGTACAAAGATGGCGGAAAAATAATGTTTTTATTTTTTATCTTGAAAACGAAAAGAGAGAGACTAATGAAATTTTATGGAAGCATTACTGTTATGAAAACACACTTTCAGGTAATTTTTTTACTTTTTTAAAATGAGTGGAAGGGGTTGAAATAAACTACCCCTATCATTCTTGTTAACGAAATTTAAATAAAAATCTTATCAAACACATGCAAATGCTTTAATTTGGATAGTTTAGTTTGTTTAAAAACATTTTTGCCTCTTGTGTTTTTTTGATAAAACTCACCGATTGGAAATTAAAAAATAAAATGTAAAGCATTACATGTCAGGACAAAAAACATTTTTAGATTAAGAATCTAGTGATAATAACGATAATAATAATCATCTAGATAATAACGTATTGCAGTAGAGTAATGTCAAATAAAATAATATTAGGAACATCCTAAAAGTAACAGCGGCCGACTAGATTTTTTCCTAAAAAATTACAGCAGCCCACTAGATTCTTTATCAGAAAATGTTTTTTGTCCTGACATGTAATGCTTTACATTTTATTTTTTAATTTCAAATCGGTGAGTTTTATCAAAAAAATACAAGAGATAAAAAAGTTTCTAAACAAACTAAACATCCAAATTAATTTTTTTGCATGTGTCACCCTTTATTTTAAACAAGGAATCACCCCCTGAAATTTTTCGCATTTGTTTTGAAACACCCTGTATATGACGTTAGTAGGATTATATATTATACAACATCCACGAATGTAAATTTCTCAGTGATTTTTTACTTCTACATGTTCTTCTTCATCTTTCATAATTTTATGGATAAATTATATAAAAATTATCATATAAAAAAACTGGTCATCCGAAACATTAAGACGGTTATGTCTTTATATCCGATATCGTTTAAAAGACTCGGTAAACGTCAAATGCTATATTCATTTATTCTTACGTTGCCAAACGACAATCCTCACCAAGCATTAATCAGAGGGCACACACGGGCCTAAAACCCGATTCGATCATACACAATCGCATTAGGTATTTAGCGGGAGGCCATGATGGATCGATGACGTCATCCGCGATGATCGAAAGAGAGAGGGTGGATAGTAGGAAACGGGATCGAGGGGATAGAAGGGCTTTAACCACTATCACCCCCGTTGACTCGTTCGTCACCCATTTTGATAGGCGGCCCCCTCCACTCCTCTTTCGACTGTCAATTCACAGTCGACATGGAGAGAGGGAGCTCACGTCGGAATAATGACGGAATTAGCCGAGGGGGTAATTCGGCGTGATATTTTCGAAGAGTCGTCGGGGGAATTAGAAGTGGGTGGTCGGGAGATACGCCGAGTAATTGGCATATCTGTGTTTATAGTTTTCACGATTTGGATAAGCGTGTGCGGTATTAAGAGTCTATAACGCTGTACTGTTCGGGTCGTTCTCAGGGGTCGGGTAAACCGGGTGTGTGGCCGAAGGAAATATATATTATATTTCAGAAATCTGCCTTTGCGAAGGCTTAGCCCGATCCTGTCGTTTTAAGCCACACCATAAATTCCTCGTGCTTTTTTTAAGGCTTGTCTAAGGTTTGCAGAGCTTCAGCATTTGCCATATAATAGCGAGCAATTTGTTACAAAACCATATAAATTATGTATCAGTGTAATCACAAAACTTCAATCTATTTCCGTATTTTAACGGAATTTTAAATTATGTCTTTATTTTCGAGAAAATTTAGTCCAATCATAAGGAATATTTTGTTGATGTTTAACCATCAAAATCTTAAAAATATCAAAGTTTTCTAAAAGTGTGCTATAATACGGATATAGTATAATCCTTTATCTTTAATTTCCTTCTTCATTAGTGTAAAAATACCTAGCCAGTTTTACATAAAACGTTAAATGCCGAACGCTTATTTTGCTACTTTTTCGGACTAGGGAAATAGACTCTTAAGAACGGGGTGATACCTATTTAACGATCTGTTATTTCGGAACTCTTATTTAGAAATAACAGTTGTTACTTTTTAACCCTTAACTGTTGACAAGGATATCGCAGAGACTCTGTCACCACTTTGGCACACGATTACTCTTGCCACGGTTGTTTCTGCGGCATGCTAATCGGTGTACCTTCCTGATTTTTACTATGCTTTAATTTGCCGAAAAGGTGGAGAGCACCGATTTTTTATTCTCGAAATATTGACGTTGCGGAGTCTAATAGGGACCATGATAGCATTAGGGAAATTTTTTAATAACGTTTGCTATACAAGACTGTGTATTCAACGGGTTGATATTTTGATGACATATGTATGTATATATAATGCTCGATGTAATGCATGTGTTGGCGATCAATTAATTGATAGTGAGCAAGAAATATCGACGAGAAAACTGAAGAAGCGATCATAGCTCAATTGAAAACGCAATGTGAAGCTGATACAAAAAAAGCTAGACATTTTAATCGAGAAAAAAGTTGTTGTAATAAATAAATAAATAAATAATATATTTTAAAAATATTTTAAACAACTAGTTAAAAAATATAAGATGATGTTGATAATACGTAAATACATTATTATATGGATAATAAATAGATTGCAATATTTCCCAAGCGTATAACATAATATTTACCGATCAATCCAATAACACCAGTAATAAAATTCTCAACGTAAGTCAATATTTGGTTACATATGGTGTTTAAGGTTCAAATGCATGTTTTCAAATATTTTCGTAAGGTATATTTGTAGAAGTGCAATATGCAGAGAAAACTGACATTGCATTATATTTTAATAGAAATGTACTTTGTAAAGTTATAATTTTCGATTATAAAATATAGGTAGTTAACAAAAAGAACATACCTGTCATTTCTTGAATAATCTGCAGCAAGAATTTTATAGATCCTAATGACTCCTATTTGTGTAAAATATCCTGAAACAAAAAAAATCATTAATATAAATTATATAGCAATAAAGAGATTATTTTAAATCCATAGTTGAAATATTTAATTCTCTAATGAATTAGCTATTCGGCGATAAAGAAATATATTATTTAATAGGCGTCTTTAACACACGCAATAAAATTCAAATTTTTATAGTTTAAAGCTGAATAAATGGCTATTCGTTGTAAATAATATGTATTCCTCTAATGCCATTACTTAATACCCGTGCTACCATCTAAATACTAAAAATCTTTTTGTCCAAAACAATATATATGTTAATCCGAAAATTAAAACACACTTAGCGTAACATATTAACACTTATCCATTTACCAACGACGAAATTCAACATCTTCGTGGAAATTAACATAAAAAATACGTATTTGGATTATGGTTCCCAACGCACACCTGCGTGGTCTTCGAGAATATTAAAAAAAAAACAGGTAACGACTTAAGTCTGATATATACTAAAGATTTACTCAGTTGTCTACTTGGGATTTTTTGTCACCTTTTTCCCTAGACCTATTGGTATATACCGTGTGGAGCATCAGAACACGGTACATAGGAAGTCTCATGTAAATTTGACAAAGGTCAGATATCTATTATATCCATCTCTAAAAGTTGTATTAGACTTTTTTGAAGAGGTGTTAAAGTTATATTTTGATTTAGAATTTAATTTTGTTTTGAAAAGCCATTTAAATGATATTTTTAAAAATCTACCTTTTAGTTACTGGAATTTTAGAATACGCTTACAACGACAAAATATGATTTTGTCATTGTCAAATTCGATGTCACGTTTTTGTTTACAAAAATTTGGGTAGTTTGGAGGATGGTTAATTTTTCTCTGATTTGGAATTACCATCTACTAAAGAGTTAATATTCAAATTTAACTAAGTTAAAGTTGAATTGAGAATATCATTCGCGGTGTATGACTTGTTTGCTGTTCAGTACTCGATCACTCTCGTGGCCTCGCTCCATATACGTAATAATTTCACGTACAATAATCTAAGAAGTAATAGAAATATTTGTAACTAAAGAAACTTTATTAAACAACTATATTAATGAATAAAATGTTTACATAATCCTCCATTCCCAGCCAAACAATACTCAAAATGATTATAAAATTCACGCCTCCCAATACAAAGCTGTTGAAGCGAGAATCTTTCGCATTCCACAGAGGAGGCGTTTTTAGTTCCTCTAAATTTCTATATTTACTATGCCCATAAAGACGGTTTTTGAGTGTGCTTCACAGGAAGTCGTTGGGCTAAAGATTAGGAGTACTGGCAGCCCAACTAACGGTGCGATTTTGCCCACTTATGTTTCCTCTGAACGCATCTTGCCAATATTCACTAAATATAAGGCAGTTGTTTGCAGGACAATCATCCATTTGAAACCCGATTTCTTCTAAAGTCAACCCAATTTCTTCTTATAATAGCTAATGATTTTAAGTGTTCGAAGAATAATATTGTGGTCGTTTCCTACTGGCTCCCCAACAAACGGGAGTCAATGTTTTTCTTTTCTTCAACATGGAGAAGAATATTCAAATCATTGTTGTTTTCATCCTGTTCATTATTTTTATCTTCACACTTCCTTATATGCTTAATAGTTTGCCTTTAGTTTCAAACCTCTGGTTTATTCTTTAAACTGTTGCCTTATTCGGTATAGGGTTATCAGGAGACTAATAGGATACTAATGTCATATATACTTATATAACTTTTTCAGGAATTGTAGAAATTATGATTATTTTATACAAAATTTTTCTATTTAGTACCTTCAAAATTTTGTAAACAAATGTGACATCGAATTTTGGCGATTCCCTTGTAGCAGAGTCATCATAAGACAAGAAGAAGATATCGAATTTGACAATGACAAAATCACATTTTGCTGGTATTTTAATTGTAGCTTTCTTTGGAAGGTATTGTAAATTTTAGTAATTTGAAGATAGATTTTTGCAAATAACATTTAAATTCCGATTCAAAACGTAATGAAATTCTAGACGAAAGTACAACTTTAACTCTTCTTCAAAAAAGTCTAAGACAACTTCTGTATAAAATTATCTGGGGAGATAATATTTGACCTTTTCAAAATTTATATGGGATTTCATACGTCCCGTGTTCCGATGCACCACACGGTATATCTTGCAAGACGTGGGAAATAAATAAACCACCATGGGTTATGTATGAGAGGTAGCCAGCTCATTATACAGTCAAACCAGATCGCGTATATGCATGTGAGTGTATATGTGAACGTATGCCAGTCTGCGTTTATATGCGTAAGAGGAAATAAGTTACCTAAATTCCTTGCATACGTAGAGAGGCAAATTAAATTATGTAGATTCGTATAAAACGGTCAGTTTACTTGCCTGGCGTATGGGAAAAACATAGTCGTAGTTTAGTTGTAAAGGAAAGTGAGTTCATTCAACGTATGCAAATAGTACGGTAGACTGATTTAAAATATGCCCCGCGTATACTAATAGAAAATAAAAAGGATTAGGAAAGGTACCTTTGATAGACCATTATAGAATGTATCCTGTGAGCAGTAATTTAAATTTTTTGCGTGAGAAAAAAATACATACATACTCGTAGTATATGCTAATCAGAAGATACCTAATATTTTTCATGCCTAACAATGCATGGTACATCGGCTTTGGAAACATTAGGAAATCCCTGGCACATTTTGAACTGTCCAAATATTGGCGCACCTATTAATTTTACAGCAAAGTTGTAAATAGAGTTTTTAAAGGTCTGGGTATGCTGAAAACTGGGGTATGCCAAATTTGAGCAATTTTGCGCGAGCTGTTTTTAACTAACTTAAAAAAACTGCTTCTATTTCTATATTAAAACTGAACAGATAACAATGCAAGTTAATCTTAAGTTGTCAACTTATAATTTTCACAATGTTAAATTATATTTCCTAAACCAATTAAAATTAAATAACTAAAGGCTTTTGTCTAATTTCGACGTAGGTACTATAACATAGAAGCCATAGACTAATAATAGACGGAGAGCTGGCTACATAAAAAACGCGTTGCCTGCCGGCATTTTAGCAATAAGAAAAATGTCTGCCAACAATTTTTCACGTTCCTTAATAATAAATAAAAGCTATTTTCGCAATTATAACTCGTGTACCGTATAATATTTTTAGTGTCAAAATTTCACCCTTTCGGTTGGCCGCCCCCGCTTTAAGCCCCGGGATCGCGCTGGCAGACATGACTATTTCGTAATGGCTACACATAAGGAGACTTCATAACAAAAATTAGCCATGTAACGATTATAAGGTTTTTTATGTAACCAGCTCTTAAACTATAATGTCATATACTAGAGATAGATGGGACACTGATATAAAACAAATAAGTCGTCTTTTTTAATTCATAATGTACTGAAAACTGTAATTTTCAAATAAACTAAATGCTTCAATCATTTTTAAAATTACATAATTGATCCAAAAATAGCAATAACAAATGCTACAAATTATCGAACGAATTTTTTCTTTAGAAACAGGTAGTAAATGTAGTTCATGCAAGTGCATTAAAATCCAGTAGACTAGAACAATCAAGCACTAATTAATTTAATAACTTACAATACAACTACATAAAAATTATTTTATATATAAATATGCATGCCTGTAAACGTATATACCATAAAAATCCCCCCCCCCGGTTGTTATTTATATAAATAGAATATTTCTAGAAAAACAATAAAAATAATTTGCTTGATATATTATATTAAACAAAATAATAGTGTCTCATATAATATGCTAAATGAATAAAATTTTAAGAACTCAGCACTAAGCACTTTTATAATATATTTCTACCCATAAATATATAAAATACCATCTAAACGCTTTTTTGAGTAAAATTAACAAATTTACTAGTTAAAGTAAAAAAGCCTCATTAGGCCATAATTACTGAAGCTATTACGAACTATAAACAGCTCAAAGAACAATTTAGCATACAATCAACTTAATTAATTGTTTTTAGCATCGGCCTACTAAATATAGAAAGAAAAACGTTACGATGTATTATACGGGTCATTGTATCTCTTTTTTCTTAATGTTATATTGTTTTAATCGATCTTTTTATCGCCTCTTCCTAAAGAAAAAGAGTAACGGACTACGAAACTCCGACGAATCGACTGGATTGTCGACAGTCGACAGAAATCGCGAGTCACGATGAGCCATCGCATTTGTGACGTTATTACACCGATGCCTTGATTGCTGATTGTGCAGAATATTTCGGCCAACCGGTTCTAAATGGTTAAAGTATTTTCAGCTTTTTTTCCTTTACTTTATTTCTTGCCCGTCTGTCAACAAACAACGACGACTGTTATTGCGAGGCAAAAATAAACATCTGCAACTTTAGCATACTTTATGTCGCAAAAAAACAACATGCATTTTTTTAAGTTTCTTGACGCAACAGTTTTACTAATTATTTCATTTGGGTAGAGAAATTAATGATAATCGCGTTTTAGCGTTCTTAATAGATTTTTAAAATGAATAATGACGTTTTTGTATATTACGTTTCTAACAATTAAAATCGACCTGCTCTTTCTGGTTTATTTTTGTAGTTTGCAATTAAGATATCTCTTTTTTGGGCCAGGTCATTTAGTAAAGGGTTCTAATTCTGTAAATTTTGGAAGAGGTTTGTTTTTTCACTCATGCAGAGACAACCAATAATTAACTCTTTCCATCTATAGAAAGATGGTGAATATAAACATCTGCAATGTAACCATAATTTACATCACAAAAAAGAAAAATATGCATTTTGTTCGGTTTCCTGACTCACAGTTTCACTATTTCGTTTGTAATGTTGGTTGAAAAATCGGGTCATTTGTAGGTTTTCTATCTTATAATTGTACAACCCGAATTAGGTGAGCAAACCAAACAGTGCAGCAGGCCAAATATTTTCTTTAAAGTTATTTTTTATTTTTAGTCGATAAACTCTGTTTTTTCTCGGTCCAATGAGAGATGGATATGAAAAATAAATGCTATCGAA